ATTATGCAAAACAATCTAAAAATCATTCAACACCGGAGAACTACGATTAGTGATTACTACATGCTCAATGGTGACACTGAGGCTAAAAGATGAATTACCTAAAATGATCACATCATTTTGTATTTATCAGTTCGACTGCTTTTGTGGAGCAAGTTATATTGGTTGAAGCCTTAGGAATTTACATTTTCGTTCTCGCAAACACCTCCCAGCCTGGCTAAACAAAGGTCTAGTAAAGAATGTGAACAGCTCAATCTTGGCTCATTAAGTGCAAACTTATCATAGTGCTAGTATAAGCCAAATCTTTTCACTTGATTATCGGGTCAGTAATTTTTTTGCAAAAGCTTGTTAAACTTAAAGTCTCTTAAACGGCTGAAACAGTAACCATCCGGATTAAAAAATCGGAGCTATGCGCACAGAAGAAATATCTTCAACCACTCCTCCTCCCCAGGCCAATTAATCAATGGGAATCTTAGCTATTGAGTGACCTGATTTGATTATTGTACGCACGAACTTTTGTAGTCAAATGTAATTGTCTCTGTTATCTTTATTGACAAATATTTGTATTATTATTGGTTAAACATTATTAGTCTCCCTAATACATGATTCATTTACTTCGCCTTCATCCCACCTTATTATGTCTTACTAATAATAATCGTGAGTGTGCACTGATGAGGAGTTCCATACTAGGACGAAACGACTGTCCAGTACTACCAGGTTTTCTGTGGTGATCTAATCTTAAACGACTCATGAATTGCACCATTAAATAATAATTTTCTACGCAATATAGTATTCTATTAAAACATTTGATCGAATTGTAATTGCACTATTATTTCTCTCACCCTATCTGACCCATATTTATTCGGATCATGGGATGTTACAATTGTTAATTAACATATGAGCTGATTCAAGTTAACATTCTAAATGAGTTAAATCAACGTGAACAATTTTATTCTATTTTGTTTGACAATCCTTAATTCACATGTTTTAGCTTTAAATGATGCAGTTTGCCCTTAACCTGACCATTTTTTTTATTACTGATTTGGATATATAAATTGTAGGACATGAAGGGAATTTATCAAAATAAATAGTCTCAGAGTGAACATCAACTCTGAGATGCAGGCACATCAGGCTGACGAGCCTCAAAAAGAACGAAACGGGCGTTCTGGATTCAAATACTAGCCAATATCCATCTTTGCTTATAACGCTTGTGAATTAAGGCTATATTGAGGCAATACACATATGCTAATAAAAGACTGATCTCATGTAATTGGTTTCCTTTATTTAAAAGACTGATCAACTTAAGTGCTAAACATCAGTGGGAAGATTCAGGTAAACAATACCAAGTGAATTTGAAAATATTCTCGATTGGAAGGAAAACACTTAACATAAACGTCGATTTCAGGGGTGATAGAGTTACAGACGTCCTAAAGAGAATTCCCGATTCTCTCAAAATAACGTTGGGGACCGCGAGATGATAGCAACCGATGGTTAGAGACCTTGAATGACATGGCTCAAAATCGTTTGCAATGGCGCAGGTGCATCCACTCTCTATGTTCTCCCAAATTCTAATCTTCTGAATTCTTCATGTCCCTTTTTTTCCTCTTTCCAAATTTATTTCACTGGATTATACTCGTTAAATAACATCTCCAAACCCTAATCTTTCCGATTACTGCTTATACTCTTGCTACCTCTACCACTACGGGATTTGAATCGACCACTGCATCTCTGTGCTAATGTGGTATGGCAACTCGAACTGATGTACGTACGTACTAAGTTCTACGTTGTTACTGACTGACTGACAAAATAACGTTTACCGAATAATGTTCTCCAGTCGATCAATGTTATTGAATAATCTTAAGGATAAATCGTTTCATCTGACAAGTTCTATGCGAATCCATCAATTTACCTGTTGATGTAGAGTCAGGTATATATGTCGTTCTATGTGTAGAATTCCAGGTCGCCTGCTTGAATATCTGGGCTACCAGACATGGATAAAAAGAGGCAGAAACGGTTCAATAAGTAGCTCGATAATCGAACACCCTATGAACATAAGGTTTCATCTACAAGGTAAGTAGAAGGCTGAAGAAGGCAGTTATATAGCACCTTCTTAACATTGTTAAGGAAATAGTTCTACATCTAGAAAAACCAGAATTGTATGACCTTAAGAAATCGGTACAACCTCTTTATCTATCATATTATTAATGTCTCAATTGTCTTTCTTCACCGCCATTTTATCCCCCTTCTATGTTTTCTACAAATCTTTCGTACCCAACTGGTTTATTTTCGTTTCTATGATCCTTCTAATTACATTTCAACTTAATTCGAACATTTTATCTTATCATGCTGAACCAACCTTTCTCAGTTATAATTTCCCTATCTATCTTTATGATGAATATTCAAATCCTTAAAAATGGAAATGCTATTAGTTTCCCTGATAAAAAAAATAACGTAAAAATACCTTTGTTTATTCTACCTCACTGTTTCAATGTTAAATAGATTTTTGTTATCAGTAAGCACAATCTGAAACAAAGCGAAACAATACTAAAAAAACTTGCTTCACTGGTTCTGTTCAATAAATAAACGAAATAATTTGCCAAGGTTGCTAAAACTGGACGTACGCTAATACATGACAAACCCCTTTATATGTAAAGATGCAACACATTGAGCCAACTTAGCTTCCCCGACCGTTGTTGCTACCTTGATGTGGTGGTCGGGCTTGCCTATCATGATAAACCAGTTGAGCTATGCTGGATGAAACAAAAGTTCCTCAATGTCCTACCATAACAGGCAGGTCGGTTGATCAGCGTAAGACTAAAAGCAACAAACCCAAGGTTCGAAGGAGAAGTCGTACTCCTGACTAAACAAAGGTGTGACAGCAGTAAGGTATTTCCTTCAGACAATCAGCATGGCAGAGATGATGCCTTCCCACAAGGAGGGGTGGGGTTAAAAAAGGTCGACCCTAAAATGCACACCTCGTTTTATCCCACGGATATCCGTCTCCGGCGGTAATGTCTCAACAATTACGGGGCTAACACAGAATTACCCGCAAATGGGTTGTTTGTGACCGAGCTCAAACAGTTGTCCCTTGAGCACTGCGGTCACGCTCTCAAGTCACCAAGACCATCTCTAATCCAATTTCCTTTTCAGGTACCTCCAGAAGAACCCTTCCACGGTGTGGGCAACCGGGAAGTGATAACCGCCCTCATATCTGTAACAACACTCAAGACTACTGTATTCATAATCGACCTCCCTCTTCAATTCCTGAAACTTGGCTTTGGTTATATGTTTTATTATATTACCTACTAATCGATGACAGTTCTCCAACAAATGCCAGAACTTAATTCATTTTTTAAAAATTTGAGATAATTCAATCATAAAGTTAGATCACCCATCCTAATCACTAAATGTGGTAGGCCTTGGTAATTTTTTTTTCTAGGAAATCAGGATCTTCATTTGAATACGATAGAAAATGAAACAATGTAACACTTAAAAAGCATAACGCTTAAGGACTTGGACGAAAAATGTTTTTTAACCATAGAAATAGGAAAAGTGTACTACCGTCAGTATTAATACGTATTTTATAGTTCAGATGAATGATGTTGTTAGAGTTTTATTCTCTGATCTGAATGATTTGATCATAGAGCTTTCATTGTTCTTCTGAACAACAATTCAGTTCATCAAGACGTAATCGAAATAACATATGATTGATTTCATTTAATGTTTCTTACACATCTACATATATAACTGATGAAATGCTTCATAGAAATATAAACACTAATAATAAAGTTCATTTAATTTCGAAAAACAAACAAACAAATAAATATCTTGTTTACAATCACTTCTTTCTTTCTCTCTCGTTTTCATACTCTGTTCATCAAAAAATAAAGAAATTTTTTTGTAGAAAAAAAGGAGAATACAAACTAAAAAAAAAATTAGCCTCCTTCTCCCCCCTCCTCTTCCTTCTTCATTTATACATCACTTTATGCATATATACACATGTATACATGTTGACGCGTAGGGAGGGAGAAATGGAGGGAGGGTAAGGAGATGAAGTAACAAATATGAAATATCAAATATAAGGATCAAGTATACAAATAATAAATTTTCTATTAGAAAAACAAAACAAAACAAAAAAAACGGAACTCCATATAATAAATCATACTCCAAGAAGATTTCAATCATTGAGCAATAAGAAAACAAAAGAAAACTCTATTATTTCAATGTTTATTATGAATACACTTTCATTATGTAATCAAGAAGATAAACAACAACAAAGAAAAAGATAAACATTAAATACTCTTTACATTTCATTTTAAGAATTAACAACTAATAAGAATAATTTTTTTTCGTATTCAAATCTATTATATACTACTTATTTAATATCATCTAATAAATAAGATGATATTGCATATGATAAAAAAGAAATTTTATTTCTAATCATATATGCATAGAATGAATTGCTTTATGAAATGATTATATAATACTTTCAATAGTTGAAATCATGAGTCAATTGAAACTAGACCACCATGGAAAACATGGAAGATTCCAGCTTCAAATGACACATGATCTCAACCATTAGTATCCACAAAACAATTCTGATATTATATAATATTAAGTAACATTTCACTTGAGTATTTATAAGAAATCAATTAAAGAATGATTATAAATGGGATATTTGTTCGTATACATATTCTGTAATAGTTTTAACAATAAAATAGTAATATCTTGATTTACTCATCTACACAAACACACGCACGCACGCACGCACATACATGCATACATACTTATGTTTACAAAAAAAGGAAATAGAAAGGGGTAAAATTGTACCGGGAAATGGTGCAAATTGATTAGTAAAGGGAAAATACCTGGGCAGTAAAGTAATCACATTGCTATTCATTTTAAATTTGTTACGTAATCATTGATAAGTAATCAATAAGAAGAAGAACAACAATAATGAATACTAAGAGATATTAATTTAAAAAAGAAAAAACAAATATATGTCAATCTTCAAGTGGATACTTTTCAATTCGTTCACGTATTTCATCCAGTGTATAATCTTTTAATAAGACGCCATTTTCATAAACTGGGATAAGTACATCCTGTAAAATAGAAGAAAAAAGTAAGTTGTAACACAATTTATGCTAATGGATACACAGATTATTATTATTCGAACACCCAAACACTTTAGCGTTATATTATAATGATACTTTTCACCTTGATTTTTATGTATCAGAAGGGGTTTTGTGGATATTATAGTGATTTCGATAGTTGAGATCATGAGTCAATTGATGTGTCGATCGATTTCGTGGATTAGTTGAAGTTAGACATTAACATCGTTGGATGACAGCCGGCTCAGTGGTCTAATGGTAAGCGCGCGCGCGAGACGGACAATCCCTGGGCTCGAATCTCGCGAGGCGGAATCGTGGATGCACGCTACTGAGGAGTCCCATACCAGGACGAAACGGTCGTTCAGTGTTTCCAGGTTTTCCATGGTGGTCTAACTTCAATTAACTCATGATCTCAACTATTAAAATTAGTATATATACACCAAGATTATAGTAATATCTGAGATTTAAACAAAAACAGGGAAGGAAGTCAAGACGAAATAATAAATAGAAATTGATAACCATTTCTTATTGATAATTAGTGTTAAAATCTATTAAGTGAAGTTAACTATTATGTATAAATCATTTTGTATTGTTTGTTTGAATCTTCTGATTGATGTTTAGAACTGAAGTTAATCAGTCTCTTAATGAGATATGTGTATCCTGTGTGGGTTTCCTTCGAGTCTAGCAGTGAATATCAACTCTAGGATGCAGATACATCCAGCCGACGAGTGTCAAGTAGGACGAAACGGGAGTTCTGTATTCCACTGCCAGCCACTATCCACCTTTCCTGATTATGAATAACATTATGTTATGCAGTATTGTTGTGTATAACGACGTTTAGTTGTATTCTTCTGAACGAGATCATCAGCACAAAGTTCAGATAGAAGTACTGGTGATGAAAGCTCAACGACCGAACCATCCAGCTCAGAGAACAAAACTCCATCAAAATCATCCAGCTGAGCTACAAATCTCCATCTCACACACTAAGTAAGTATACATCCATATTTCTACAAGCTATTTATTTACCTATTAATATTAATTTACAACTCTAATCCTTATTCTTTATCTGAACTCCTAACATTGACTATCTTTTGTTTTGTTTTTTCTAAAAAAGAAACGTTGAATTATGTTGTGTGAAGACTTGGTATACTATTATAAAATAACATTTAGATGATGCGACTATAATTTATGGACGATATTTGAGCGACGCTGAAGTGACACCTTGAAAGTGTTCACCTAATAACTAGAACTAAATGAGGATTATAAACCTATGTGAGAAATCAAACTTATGATTTACAGTTGATGGTTAAAGTAAGGAATTACATTTAGGATTTTCATCACGAATCGACATCAACTATAATGTTAACATTCTATTTAGCCAAATGAATGAGTGAATTTCACGCTAAAATTCAAGATCTGTTATCTTATAATCTCTCCCATTTAGAATAATACAAAGTTGTTGATAAGGTTCTATTGTTTCTCAACTTTAATTCTGATAAAACATAAATAAATAATATAAAAATAGTTTTAAAAAAAAAATAACAAAGAAAAATTATATAAAGTACACATAATACATCAATACAAACAATAACTGATAATAACCTACATTATATGGACTACCACAACCTTCTTCAACCGTCATAAGTATACCAGTTATTGGACATTTTTCTAATGTTAAACGACCTTTTTTCGAATTTTTTTGTGGATCAGTGATTGGATGTTTGGAAACTTGAATCTGTTAACAAAGAGATAGATATAGATAATAATAACAAAATATACCAATTGAATAAACAAACTAATGATTTATGAAACGGATAAACTTAATTGTTTCAAACAATTGACTTTTAAATTAGTAGTTAGTAGTATTAGGTTAGAACTTAACTGTTCTACCTACTAATTCAGTTTAGATAACTATGTAGTAATTAGTATGATAAGTTGTCATACAAATTTATTTATTTTAGCACATAGATATTGGTAGAAGGAGGTACCAAATAAATATGAGCCACACAGATCACATTTGATATGTGCGAGAGCTGTGATACTGCCCGGGTGCCCAAACCGAAGCGAGTGGTTTTCTTAGTGTTAGGATGTTCAGAAAAATTTACCAATAATTATCGTGTTAAGTCTAATGGTGGCCTTGGACTTTAAATGTACACACCCTATTGGTTGGTACTTATTTCACTTGTTAAATATTGTGTAAATGTTGTTTTCTATTTTATGGTACGATGTGGTCTGCTTGATTAGTATATAAACAGAGTATGTTTGAAATATAATGATTTATATCTCAGAAGCTGTGACTTGCGTTCTGGACTCAACTGGCTGGGCTAGACAAGGAAGCAGGGCCAATCGGGACTCTAAGTCGTTCATTACGTGTTTACGTGTCACTGAATCGACCGATAAATACGCTGCGCATTAAACCTACAGTCACACGTTACAACACTTAGGAGGCCACACCCGGAGCCTTCGGACTGAAGGTCTGATCCACAAGGCAGTGGAGCATCATAAGAAGATGCAGTCCTATGGTAGCCGGTGACCAACGATCGGTTCATACGCCATCTGTTTCTTTAGGATACTGGAGCCCATGTGCACGATTGGTTTGGAATTAGGGTTTTCCAACTGCCCTAGGTGGACTCTCCATGTCTACCAACTTGGTTAAAGCGCCGAACATTCGCTTTTCCTTCTCTCAATTTCATAAACAACACCCCCGTCACGAGAAGGCAGTGAGTAGGAGTTCCCTGGCAAATGCTATATACGCGTGGCCATCTGAGAGCATTTCGAGAGGGAGAGCGGATTCCTCACTCTCGGCCATACCAGAACATTCAGGGGCTGTCATACAAATGGTGTGGCTTAAAAGAAAAAGCATATAAATTTGTACCAAGTAGATAATATTAATAATAATTATTATTATTTATTTACCTTATGACCATTAACTATAGCGAAACTTGATTTGAATGCACATTTCTGTGTATCACGATTTAAACGTTGTAATAATGCACCACCACTTCCGAAACTAACATTTCCAGCACTCCAACCAGCTGTTTTGATACTATTCAGAATAGGATCTAAATGAGTTGAATAAATTAGGAAACAAAAATGAGGGTGATAATTATGAAAGTTAATTAAATTAGGTAAAATCAATAAGAAAGATGTTACGTGAAAATTCTTGTAGGAAATTATATGACCATTAAATGTAGACAATTCAAAACTATAACAGGATGCTATCAATAAGTCAGAATCAATGTAGAGACTGACTGACACAAACTTGTACTAATCTACGTTTCTATAATAAATTACAATGATAAGATGAAGTTAATAAGATGGAAAGAAATTACGTTATGTCCTTAGATAATCTGAAACTGTGGCGAAACTGACTTCCTATGATGGAAGAAAAGGCTGAGAAAACATCGACACTAAAAGTAGTATAGCTGAATTCGCCCAACGGGTTTCCATTAGTAAAACTAAGGTATTTAAATTAAGGAGCTAATATATTAAAGTCTAGATACAGAAAAGCTTTATGTGACCGATCTCAAGCAGTTATCGTTTGGACATTGCAGTCACGCACCCAGAGCGTCAAAACTACTTCGTACGTACGTACATCTAGTATGCGAATTGTTAACAATGACCGGTCACCAGATCCAGAACCTTCAAGTCACGCAGCGAATGTACAATCACTAGAATCACTGATTTGGTATTCAGTTGTTTACAATATTGAACAATCGTATTTCAATGTCATTACTAATGAATAGAATGCCTAACTACCATAAATCTTAAGCATTCCACAAAGAAAAATTAAGATAAACAAAAATCTAATAAGTAATCCTATTTACTTACCTAATGATTCTAATGAAACACCATCACCTTGTATAACTCGTATACACGATGGTAGAACTTTGTAACCTTTAGAATTAATTTTATAACCAAACTTGCTGCCTAAAATATCTAATACTTTTGGCATAATTACAACTGGATCACCTGAATCCGGTCGTATAACAACTGTACCATTACGATTTATAACCTAAATTACAAAAAAAGACAACAATAAACAAATGAAAAGACTCATTAATCTTAATGAGTTGGTAACGGACAAAATCTATACCTTGCAAACGTGTAATTATGAGTGTGGCAGAGACACGTATTATATATACGGAACATCAAATGGTTAAAAAATAGACTGAGAAAAAAGAGGTAAGGGTGATTAAATTAAAATGCGTAATCAGTACTTGAAATCATAAACTGTTAGAGTGACCTAGTTTGACAGGTACAGCTACACATCAAACAATTATAAAGAGCAGTTGACAAAACAAATACATAACCGTGAAATGATTAAAGTCGGAAATATAAATTATTAGCTTTCAATGCAGTCAAAGTCAAGGTTTGTGGATCAGTAAATTAGGATAAATCAACTACCTATTCATTCTTTATCGTTGATTATTACATGGTAACACTAGCCCATGACAAGAACTCTATTCGTTGAAAATGTACTTGAAATACAAACGAACTTATTAAGTTAACAGACGGTAAACAATACAATTAACTCCTCCTGGAGCCCCTCTGGTCAGTCAGTCAGCTACAACGTAGGGCCAGGCACATATGTGCATCGGTCCACGTTGCCATACTTCATTTGCACAACAACATAAACACCGATTTCATAGAAGCCTGGCACTCAGGTCAATCAGCAATTAACAAACATATTGAAATCAATCCAATTTACTAACGAATCAGGAAAATCATGCACAAACATAGGAACAAAAATCAAACCAATGGGAGACACAACCAAAACAAAGAAGTAAACAATGATAAATTTAAGGTCAATAAGAACCAATCAACATCGAGGTGCACAGAACAAGCTGTAAAACACATATGGAGAAATTCAAACACTTCACTTTTATCTGGAGTTTGTGCTGATGATGTCGTTCAGAAGAACGATGGTTTAAAGAAAGGCAAAGAGTGTATGAACTGACGCTATGTGATCGACTCTGAGCCATGTCACACAGAGTCTCCAATCATTGGTTACGATAGTCCCGCGAACCCCAACCAGATAGTTTGCATCTACCAGCATGGCTAAGACTAGAAGCTAGCGACTTCAAGCCTTTCTGGGGCTATTGCCAGTCCCAAGTCCGGATAAAGAAAGAGGATTAGGCATGAGATTAGCGACCCCATGCCGTAGAAAACTAACACGCTAACCAGAAAAAAATAATTCAAACCATTAAAACTTTGCCCTGGGTGTTAGGTCTTCCTCTAGAAGAGTTGTGACACCTCATGGTGAAAACCGAACGGCTTATACTAATCTGGACCATCTTTGTCTGTAAAAGTTCAGTGAGAGCAGTTTTACCCTATACTTATGAAATTTGGCCTCTCCGAGTTGAGTATGTTAAACGACTCTGGGTTTGATCGTCGTTGTCTCCAGTGGATAGCCGACACCCAATGGTAACACCATGTTAGTAATTCTCAGGTTCGGCAACATATATTCGGGCACAGCGACGGTAATTTAATTGTCACTATCTTGAAACATCAACTTAGGTGGCTTGAATAAATCTTACGAATGTCGTCCCAAAAAGTTCCACGTCGCGTATTATTTGATGACGCTAGAACCAGTTGGAGAAGGCGGATGTCGTAGTATGAAGCAAAGCTGTACAGAACTGGTTTGTGTTTATCCTTCACGACTCCCTGGTTGAAATCCTGGAGATGGCACAACACAGTGGCTTGAGACGTTATTATACATTGCTGAGAATAGAAGCCAGTGGCGATCCAGCAGTAACTTTCTTCATAAAAGTGAACGTAACTTTTTTAACTGAAATAAATCTTCCTGGTTGTACTTTTGGTAAATAAACTGTTTCTCTCATTATTAATATTATTAAATCACTCTCATACACTAACTTCTGTTCGATGTTATTCTCCTTTAACTTATACGCATTCTACATTCACTATCTCTTGACAACCTCATTGTTATTATGTGACACATCTGTATTTGATGCTCCCCCATACCAATGTTTGTGTTCAAATAAATAAACAAGAACAAGATGTCACTGTATATTTATGAAAATAAACACAGTTTCCATATCACAGATAAATCACAAGGTATCATTAACGATAGCTAAAGAACACGTGGAAGCTATTTTTATTTTTGTTTAAGACTACATAAGAATGTTAACCAACAATTCTACCAATTATCAAATTCAAAAAGTAAAGAAACAGTGGATGATTGTTTTTTTTAAAAAGAAATCAAGCCTATAACATTTTAAATCTTAGTAATATGTATTGTCAGAGAAATTATTGCAGGTTTATGGAAACCTTAGGAATATTAGTACATTTATACCTCCTATATATATACATACCTGAAATCTATTTGTTCTTACTTTTGAATCAATTATTTTGATAATTATTAATTGCCCCCGAATGCCCTGTTACGGCTGACAGCGAGGAGAGTTATCTCTCCCTCTCAAAATGCTCTCACATGGCCACATACATACAACTACTGAGAGGGAACTCATACTCACTGCCTTCTCGTGACAGACGTGTTGTTTACGAAATTGAGAAAACAAAAAGCGAATGTTCGGCGCTTTAACCAGGTTGGTGGACACGAAGGATCCACTTAGGGAAGTTAGAAAACCCTGATTCGAAACCAATGGTTTGCATGGGCTCCAAGATCCTAAGGAAACAAATGGTGTATAAACCTATTGTTGGTTACTGACTATCATGAGACTGCATCTCCTAATGTTAATCCACTGACTTGTGGATTAGACTTTTATGTCAAAGGCTCCAGATGTGGCCATCTAAGAAAACCACTCGCTTAGGTTTAGGCACCCAGGCATTATCCCAACCCTCATACAAATCGAATGATTTATATGGCGCATACCTATTTGATTCCTACTTGTATCAATGTTTATGTGTTTAAATAAATAAATAGTAGTAATTAATAGTAGTTTAATACACAACTTGTCATTGTTTATATGATATAATCTTTTGAATATTTTCACAATTATCACGTTGTATTTACTTGACCTTTGTTTTGCATTTTCTTTTTTTTATTCTACTTATCAAGTTAATGTTTATTTGTTTTTAATAGAAAATATCATACGATAAGTAAACGTGTGTGTGTGTGTGTATTTGTGTGACCAAATTACTTATTACGTAAGAATTTGTTTCTCTTGGTAATTAATTTCATCTTTGTTTCAGTAAAAGAAAGTACTATAACATTAATAGAATATAGAATAGTAGACACACAAAGAAGCATCTAGCTGTGTGGTATTAACCAAAAAAATAAGAAGTACTATTCTCAATCGACTTCAGGTTAAAGTTGTCTACAGGAAAGATCTAATCAAACTGAATGTTATCTAAAAGTAAAATATGAATTAAATGATCAGTTCAATAAATATAGTCAACCTAATGCAGCAGCCTTTGCATCATTAGGCTTCAGTATACACAAAGGAAAAAGCATGATCCTCAAATACAACACAGAGAACACCAACACAATCACACTTAATGGAGAAACCCTGTAAGAGGTGGAATCTCTCATGTACCTGATGAACAACGAGCATCAGATGAAGAGGTAAATCCAAGGATTGGCGAAGCGAGGAAAGCATCCCTACAATCGAAGAATACTTGGAATTCAAAACAAGCCAATATTTAAGTCACAATCTTCAATACCAACGTCAAGACAGTTCTACTGTACAGAGCTGAAAATTGGAGAACTACAACAACCAGCATCAAAAAGGTACAAGTATTTATAAATGGTTGTCTACACAAGATACTCAATATCCATTGGCCGGATAACATCAGCAACAGCCTTCTCTGGGAGAGAACAAACCAGCCTCTATCTGAAGAGGAAATCAGGAAAAGGCGATGGAGATGGATAGAACATACATTACGCAAATCATCAAACTACATCACGAAGCAAGCCCTAACTTGAAATCCTGAAGGGAAGCGCAAAAGAGGAAGGCCAAATAACACACTACGTAGGGAAACAGAAGTAGATATGAAAGGGATGAATAGCAACTGGGAAAAACTGGAAAGGATTACCCAGGACAGTGTTGGATGGAGAAGGCTAGTGGGCGCCTATACCCTCCCACGAGGACTAACAGGCATAAGTAAGTTACTAACCTGATAGTAAAATGGATAAACTGATTATAGGTTCTACATAGATTAAATCGTTTAATAGGATTATTCCGATGACGTAACAATATGAATCAGAGAATTAGCAATTACGATAGATGTATGGCCAGAAAATATCAAGATTCATCTATTGATAATTTAAATATTATCTAGTTTTTAAGGAATCAAGACAGTGACAGTCTTGTGATTGAACTGTTATGTCCTATGACCCGTTAAAATTATCACATGGCAAAACCGCCAATCACAATACGGACTTCTATGGCCTTGTTTCTGTGCTAAATCGATGATGCGTTGAATAGCACTAGCAGTCTTCAGTCAAATCTGAGTCCTTATTGATCCTATGTATAGTAGCCTCCCGCCTGGCCCAGCCTGTTTTGTCCAGAAAACAATCTCAGCCTCCACCGTATAAATCGTATATTTCAGACATGCTTAGTTTAGACAGAATTCAACCAGACGGTATTACATCATAAAATAAAAAAATAACAATTATACAAGGTCATGCCAAAAGTGGCTACGAGTGCGAGAGACTGTACCTAATCCGTTGGGAATAAGTTAAGAATGGTAAACTGTATAACAGTAGGAAATAAGTCAATAGAAATCTCAGGATAATAGAAATACGACTATATATATAATCTAGTTACACAATAGTTATCCAATAAGAATATATGAAATGATAGTTCATAAATAATTCCTAGCCGTTACCATTCATTTACTATTCTAGTTCGTATATAACATAACATAACAAATCCTAATAAGTCACACATCTTCTCTATCATTTCAAAAATAAGATATACGTCTTGACTTTATAAGTAGTATATATTAAAAGAAATAATAAATTCCATATCAAAATGAATTTGTTAATGTTGGGGCTGACTAATATGAAGTGTTAACTTGAATCAGTTT